CGTCCACGTGGACGCAGTTAAATAAAGGACGTGCAAAGTTATGCCAAAATTACATTTAACAGGAACGGATTCAGCCTTACTGGAGGATATAATAAATAGTGAAACACGCAGAGCTTTTATTTATAAACAGATAGAATTTTCTGATGACGAGTGGCTCATCAGCTGTTTTAAGGAAAAATCATTTTTTAGTTTGGCACTGCTGAGCTCTGGGAGCGCAATGCAGCGAGTGGCCGCGTGCACCACGGTTGCTCGTGCAGCAGCAGCAGCGATTGAACTGGGGTTCCACGGGAGCTTTCCAGAGGGAGCTGCAGACCCATCAGGACCGTGTCAGTCCAGTCCACCCAAAGCAGAGTCATGCCCAATGAAATTGTCTCATCCATATGATTCTAACGGCTGAGTTATGGTCGCGTTCTGGAGCGCGCGCACCCTCACCGGCAGTGTAGATGTTTCATACTTGGCATTCAGTTGTTGTAGATTTCTCAAAAATGACTTGTGGAAGTACACTTTACAACTTGTGAAAATGCTGTAAGTAGGAGAGCAAAAGCTTGACAGACTGCGCACAAAGGCTGTGGCGTTTGTGGAGACTCTCCAACATCACGTCACATCACGTCATGTGAACTCTCTACTGAGACGCAGAGACTCATTTCTTAAAATCAGCTATGAAATAAACTGAGATCTATGTTCTACCAAACATTTAAGTTCCTCTGTGTTTACAGTAATTATGGTAATAAACTCGTGCGCAAAGTTAATGTTTTCAGACTCAGAATGGATGGATGAGCCGGTTGTGCAACACAGCAGAGCGCACACACACACCGACACACAATCACTCGTTCTTTGCATGATAAACATATTTTATTCCGATTTTTACTTAGGATTTTTTTATCACTCACATTATATTTAATTCATTATTTTTATGACATTAGAAATCATTTCTCATTGCACAGGGATCACCCAAACGTGTCCTTCACACATGCAGGAAGTAATTTGCATCTGTTTAACACATGTTAATGAAGGCGTGTCAGGGGAGGTGTCTTACCTGCGCTCAGTT